ATGGACTCTGAAAAACAAACTGAGGGTTCTAGAGGGGAGGGGGGCTGGAGGATGGGTTAGCCTGGTGATGGGTATTAAAGAGGGCACGTTCTGCATGGGGCACTGGGTGTTATGCATAAGCAATGAATCATGAAACACTACATCTAAAACTAATGATGTAATGTATGGTGATTAACATAACAATAAAAAAATTTTTTAAAAAATGGCTTATCCAGTAAGTTACTGACTTATACTGCAATGTGGAAGCCATCCTTCAATATCTATGTGCCTGGTTTTCAGTTTATTTTAGTTTTTATTTGCTTCTACAAAATGAGAATGATAAATATTATTCTAATATAATTAGAATTATATTAGTACAACTGTACAAGTACAATAATAACACTTCATAATATGTTCAAAAACATTTAAAAGAATACATGTGCTATATGATATTAAAGTATTACTGTACAGTCCAAAATAAGATAATGGGTAGTTGGAATCCAGCATCTGACTGCTCTATTCATCAAAACCATTTGTTTAATCTCTAATAAATATGTAAGCTGCAACCTCTGAAATCAACTCTTTTGGTCCTGTTCCATATGCATAAGCTAACATTGCTCATATAGTTTATGCTTTGAGTTTGCCAATTGGCCTTGCCATTGTAACTACCCTAAGAGGTGAGGAGGCAAAACAAATAATTGACTCCAGAAAAGAAAATCTGACAGTGCACTTTTATTGAAATTGACATAATTCATGGACTTCTCTCTTCTTCCCCCTGAAGGTATTGAGAGGTTCAAAGGCCAGTATTTCCATAGCCGCCAATACAAGCACCCAGAGGGACTTGAAGGGAAACATATCCTGGTGATTGGACTAGGAAACTCGGCCTCAGATATTGCCACTGAGCTGAGTAAGAAGGCTGCTCAGGTATGATGCTCTCTGCTTCTCTTGTACCATGGAGGAGAGAAAGGAGGAAGGGCATATTGGAAAATCCCAGCCACATAACCAAGGCTCCATTACTCATTAATTGGTTGGTTGGTTGTTTGGTTGGTTGGTTGATTGGTTGGTTACTACAGTGAGGTATCATAAAAAATCTGGAAATCAGGAAGCCAAGGTTTACCTCCCAGCCCTGCACTGATCAGCATGTAATCCAGAGCAAGTCTTTTACTTCTCCAAGCCATACATGTGATATATCATCTACACAGTAGATTCCTCCCAAAAGGGACAATGCCCTGATTTAAACAGCATTCCTCTTTGCTTACCAGGTATTTATCAGCACCAGACATGGTTCCTGGGTCATGGGCCGTATCTCTGAAGATGGCTATCCCTGGGACATTGTGTTCCACACCCGGTTTAGGTCCATGCTCCGAAATGTCCTGCCACAAACAATTCGAAAATGGATGATGGAACAGCAGATGAATCAGTGGTTCAACCATGAAAATTATGGCCTTGAGCCTCAAAACAAGTAGAGTTATTTTGCTTTTTTATGGTATGGTAAGCAAGATTGTCAGAGGCTCCTCTATAGTCAAATTGCTAATGCGGTATTTCAAACTACAACCTAACAGTATGAATATCATAGACATCCTGGAATTTGAATTCCAAATTTGTTCTGTATACCTTTTAAAAAGTAAATGCTTAAGAAGATGAAGTAAAATATTATGAACTTTTTTATGGCTGAGTAAAATTCCATTGTGTATATACACCACATCTTTTGTATCCACTCATTTATCAATGGACAATTAGGTTGCTTCCATATTTTGGCTATTGTAAATAATGCTGCAATGAACATGGGGGTGCATATATCTTTTCAAATTAGTGTTTTCATTTTCTTTGGGTAAATACCCAGTAGTAGAACTACTGGGTCATATAAATTCTATTTTTAATTTTTTGAGGAACCTGCACACTGTTTCCCACAGTGGCTGCACCAATTTGCATTCCCACCAACAGTGCATTAGGGTTCCTTTTTCTCCACATTCTTACCAACAATTGTTATTTCTTGTGTTTTTGATCTTAGCCATTCTGACAGGTGTAAAATGATATCTCATTGTGGTTTTAATTTGTCTTTCCCTGATGATTAGTGATGTTAAGTTTATTTTCATGTGCCTATTGGCTATCTGTAAGTCTTCTTTGGAAAAACACCTATTCAGCTCTTCTGCCCATTTTTAATTGGATTACTCAGTCATAAAAAGAATGAAATCCTGCCATTTGCAACAACACTGATGGACCTAGAGGGTATAATGCTAGGTGAAATAAGTCAGTCAGAAGAAGACAAATACCATATGATTTGACTCAGGTGTGGAACTTAAGACACAAAAGAAACAAAAAACCAGATTTTGAATACAGAGAAGAGTTGCCAGAGAGATGAGTCGGAGGGGATGGATGAAATAGACAAAAGGAATTAAGAGTACACTTATCTTAGATGAGCACTGAGAAATGTATAGAATTCTTGAATCATTATATTGTACATCTGAAACTCATATAACACTGTATATTAATTATACATGAATAAAAAAATAAATTTAAAAAAGAAAAAATATTATGAGCTGCTCTAGAAAGCAGAACTAGGATCATGGGAAGAATTTCCTAATACCCAAAGCTGTCCAACATTGGAAAAGGCTGCTTTAAGAGATTGCAGCCTTCCTTTCAGAGGGGTGTGTTGGGAAATGTGTCCCAAATTCTCCATGTGATAACTCATGCTTTGTTAATTCTGTACACCATAAGGATTCTTCCCATGAGCAGCTTTTGAGAACATACTCACTATCTCTTTGCCAAAAAATAAATCTCTACTGAGCTCACTGTTATATATCACTGATCTTATAAACACAAGCAAACAGTATGAATGTTTATTTTTCTTTAGTCGATAACAGACTCCTTCCCGTTAAAAAAATACAAAAACAGAAGAACTTTGGAATCTTTCAACAAAATGCCATGTGACTACTCAGTTCTGAGATCTGATACATGTGGCATGTATTATTTTTTTAAAAAAAAAAGGTTCTCAAATCTACAAAAAGGGGAATTCCATAAATACAACCAGACTTTGCTCTATCACCCATGCCATCACATACAGAGACTCCATGGATATTTGGGATCAACAAATATCCCCAAACTTAATTTTATACATTAGTTTTTATGCTGATCCCTTAATAAAACTTTCAAAACTATTGGGGATTTAACAAAATTTTCCTTTCTTACTTATGATCAGATAGAGATTAATTGGAGCAACAAGATAATTAAAACAATAGTGGAAACATCGATGGGCTATCAATGACTGGAATATTCATGGATTGACCATAGGCACTGGTATTTGTTTAACCTCCTTTTTTGAAATGTCTTTTTCCCACATCACCTACATGTTTTCTCTTCTTTGTTGAGGGGGAGATTTGTGACATGAGAATGAAGTCAGATAGTAAGGTTTGGGGTAGGCCAACTAGTTAAGTTAGAAAGTTTTATGGATATTTGAGAAACCTCTTTATTCGAAAAGCCAACCCCATAAAATATCAAGAGAGTTTCAAGACTCACTCAACATGATTAAATATTCCTTCTAAGTGTTTTCTTTTTGGTGTTTTAGATATCTTATGAAAGAACCTGTAATAAATGATGATCTTCCAAGTCATATACTCTATGGAGCCATCAAGGTGAAACCAAGAGTGAAAGAGCTCACAGAAACTTCTGCCATCTTTGAAGATGGAACAGTGGAGGAGAATATTGATGTTATTGTCTTTGCAACGGGATATACTTTCTCTTTTCCATTCCTTGAAGATTCACTTGTTAAAGTAGAGGTTAAGATGGTCTCACTGTATAAATACATGTTCCCTCCTCACCTGGAGAAGTCAACTCTGGCGTGCATTGGTCTCATCCAGCCCCTAGGTTCCATTTTCCCAACTGCCGAACTTCAAGCTCGTTGGGCAACCAGGGTTTTCAAAGGTATGTGAGTGGGAAAGTGAGGGGCTGAGGGTTTTATACCTAATGGAGTTTGCTCAATAACAAGTTTAGATAAGGAGGCTGCCAGGAAGAAGTTGGTCCACCTTAGACAGCTCTCGCAAGATTAACATCCTAAAAAGTTAGTGGAGAATTTGAAAAATAACAAATACAGAGATAAGATAATAATAATAATAAAGAGCTGTAATCAACCCTTTGAAATATTAGAAAGTTCAGAGAATTTCAATTTTCATAAAGCTAAATACATATCTTTACCTGGAATCATGAAAGAATAGTTGAGAAGAGAAAGATCTCTGACTCCTGGTTTTACCTATATGATGTTTATAATTTCCTCTGAATATGTGCAAATCTAGAGACCCAGGGCCTCTACATTAACTTCAAATTAACTCTTAATATGTTAAGAAGCTCAACCTCACGGATCCTTAGAAAGTTATAAAGTTATTGAAAGGTTTCTAAGTACCTGTATAGCACTTTGCATTCCTCAGGAGGCTATTATCTCCCTGACGCCAGGGTTCAATTCAGCTCAACCAGAACTCATTGAATACCTAGCTTTGTTCTGGAACCTGGTGGGATAGAGAGCAATTTAAACAGATCATTTCCACATACTAAGATAAATGCTTTGGTAGAGGGATGCATGGAGTGCATGGGAAGAAGAAAAGGGGTGCTTTGCAGCATGTTGGGATAAAGGAGGGCATGCGGCCAAGGAAAACTTGCTAGATGACCAAGTTTCTCGGGTGCAGAAGAGATAATCACTTGAGCCAAACACAGAGGCATGATGGATATGGAGAATTACAAGCTATCTGACATTCCCAGAACATGACATGTGAAGCAGAGAGGGGTGAGAGATTATTAAAGAATAATCTTTCAGTAGAAAGGCCAGGCCACAGGAGCCTTGTAAGGCATACTAAAAGGCTTACAATACAAAATGTAGATCAGTTCTTTCCAAATCTGGCCACACATAAAAATCATCTGGATCTTGGGCACCTGGGTGGCTCAGTTGGTTAAGCGACTGCCTTCGGCTCAGGTCATGATCCTGGAGTCCCAGGACCGAGTCCTGCATCAGGCTCCCTGCTCGGCAGGGAGTCTGCTTCTCCCTCTGACCCTCCTCCCTCTCATGCTCTCTGTCTCTCATTCTCTCTCTCTCAAATAAATAAATAAAATCTTTAAAAAAAAATCATCTGGATCCTTAGGGACCCTGATTAAGTCTGACCTGAGGACCTAGAATCTCCATTTTAGAAAGCTCTTCAGGGGTGCCTGGGTGGTTCAGTCGTTGGGTGTCTGCCTTCGGCTCAGGTCATGATCCCAGAGTCCTGGGTTTGAGCCCCGCATCGGGCTCCCTGCTTGGCGGGAGGCCTGCTTCTTCCTCTCCTGCTGCCCCTGCTTGTGTTCCCTCTCTTGCTGTGTCTCTCTCTGTCAAATAAATAAATAAAATCATCAAAAAAAAAAGAAAGAAAGAAAGAAAGCTCTTCAGGCGGAGGACCCAATGAAAGTTTATAAGAAAGGAATAGACATTACAAATTTACATTTTCAATAGATTATTTCAGCATTAGTGTGAAAGATAGATTTGAAAGCAGAAAAGAATGGGGTCTCTGAGACCAGTGAGAAGGCCACAGCAAGTCCCGGCTGAAACGTGATGTAGCTGAGCCAGGCAGAGAGACAAAGTGGAGAAGACAATAGAAATGTGAGAAATAGTTAGGGATAAAATCCACAGGACATAATGATCAGCTGAATGTAGAAAATCAGAGAGAGAGAGGAATCACAGATGACTTGCAGATCTCTGGCCATGGGAACTGGGTAGACAGTAGGGCCAGGAATAAAGAGAGGACATGGAAGAAGATGCAAGTCTGACCAGGAGAGCTTCTGTGATGGGCTCTGTTTTGGACTCATTGACTCTGGTATATCTGATGACTAGCTGTATCCAGGAGAAACTGAACATTTCACCATGTCTGAGAATACCCATAGACAAGGATGGAATCACAAGCACACAGTGATAAATCCTGCATCAATCTACCTTCTCTGTCCCCACTGATCAACTTTACTCCCACAAGGTTTACTTCAACAGCCTCTCAACTGGTCTTGGTACCTTTAGACTCTTTCCTAGAGCCCATGTCCCGAAATTCGCCAACTAGAAGAATCTTTCCAAAAGGCAAATCTGATCTTGTCACCACCTGCAGAAAACCCTCCCATGGCTTCCCATCACCTTCAAAATAGAGCTCAAGCCACCTGACATGATTTCCAGCTCTTCAGGCTCACCTTCCTACTCCAGTCTCTTCTCTTACACCCTCCACTTCAGAGTTCACACTGTAACCTTAAGGGCAGCATCACATAGAACTTGTCCCACTCTGGAGTTCAACAAAACAGCAGCCCTGATTGGCATAACATGGGTAAATGGCCAAGTTTAATGGTAGGAACCAACTACTAGATAAAGCAATGATATTGAATCAAACCCACTACTCAAACCAGCCTTTTATTTCTAGGCTTGTGTACCTTGCCCTCAGAGAGGACTATGATGGCAGACATTATCAAGAGGAATGAAAAAAGAATAGATCTGTAAGAATTTTTTTTTAATTCTTTACATAAAGCAATGTTTCTCAGGGTATAGTGACCTAACTACCCACAAGAACCACCTACCTGTTTCTTAAAAAAAATTCCTGGGTCACAACCCAGACCAACTGAATTGGAACCCCAGGATGAAACTGGAAATTTGTATTTTTATGTTCTCCCTAGGTGATTCTTATACATACTAGTTTAAGAACCAACTACATGAGCCTGGGTGGCTCAGTCGGTTAAGCACCTGCCTTCAGTTCAGGTCATGATCCCCGTCGGGCGCCCTGCTCAGCCGGGAGCCTGCTTCTGCTTCTTCCTGTACCTCTCCCCTTGCTTCTGCTCTCTCTCACTTTCTCTCTCAAGTAAATAAATAAAATCTTTAAAACAAAAAAGAACCAACTACATAAAGATAGAAATTTTACCAAATCAGGACATTTTTCCTGGACTTAATTTTATTTCAGTTTTGCATGATGTCCGTGTTAGATTCCACATCTTCTCAGGCTGCCCACTTTCTGTGGTGAGAGAGGAAATGGGTTGGGAGCAGCAGTAGTGACAGTGGCCAGGTGTCTCTGAAAAGTTAGTTGGGGGATGTCCTATCAAAGGAAATTAGAAGGAATTGGTGTGAAGTGAAAGTAGATGTATGCTTTGTGATACGGTAAAATGGGGTTCAAAAGTGATCAAGCACCTTGGAGAGTAGACTTGGGGGCCTGACATCACATGTAGGGGTTGTCTCATGGTCAAATTCTAATTAATCTAACATTTATTGAGTACCTATTATATGCCAGCCAGAGTGCCAACTACTTTAATAATTTAACAAGCAAATAGTAAGCATCTCCTCTGTGCAAGACACTGAGCTAGGCTTTCATCTGTGTTAGCTCATGAATCTTTGCAGCAATCCTGACTAATCTGTATTTGCCTAGAGAATTGAAGCCGCTTACTAAATATCAAATAATAATCATGGTTATAAACCTTGTCACATTCCTAAAACTTCCATGAATTCATGGCTATTTATTTTACAGCCTACTCTCAATCTGAGATCTGGGCCTTCTGATGGGATAAGCTCATACCTTCCACCAGAGATTCACTGAAACCTCATTTACTCACTCACTCATCCCTATTTTGCAAATCTGCCCTTTTTCACTTTCTTCATTAAGGTTTGGAAAGAACCAGAGCCAGATACTTCAGACCAATTACATCGACTACTTGGATGGGCTCGCCTTAGAGATAGGTGCGAAGCCAGACGTCCTATCTCTCTTGCTGAAAGACCCCAAACTGGCTGTGAAGCTCTATTTTGGACCCTGCAACTCCTACCAGTATCGCCTCACTGGGCCCGGGCAGTGGAAGGGAGCCAAGAGGGCCATCCTCACCCAGAAACAATGGATACTGAAGCCTTTAAAGACACGGGCACTAAAAGCTTCATCTGATTTCCCGGTTTCCTTTCTGTTGAAAATCGTGGGGCTTCTTGCTATTGTTGTAGCCCTTTTTTTTCAGCTTCAGTGGTTCTAATTGGTCAGCATAAAGCTTTTGATTTTAGTGTCAGTCAGTTCCTCTTAAAAAAAAAAGACAAAGAAAAAATATGAAATCTAGATTCTATATTTCAGAGTCGAGAGGAACAGAGAGAGGCGGTTGTAGAGAATTAGCAGAATTAGGTCCATGTTAAAACACTAAAATGGGGCGCCTGGGTGGCTCAGTTGGTTAAGCGACTGCCTTCGACTCAGGTCATGGTCCCAGCGTCCTGGGATCGAGTCCCACATCGGGCTCCCGGCTCGGCGGGGACCCTGCTTCTCCCTCTGACCCTCTCCCCTCTCATGCTGTTTCTCTCTCTCTCTCTCTCTCAAATAAATAAATAAATAAAATCTTTTAAAAAAATAAATAAATAAAAAATAAAATAAAATAAAACACTAAAATGGTGTCATGAAATTTCTTTGCCACACCACCCTTCCCTCAAGTTCATCAGACTCTCCAAAAGGACAATTAAATAGCACTGGCTAAATAGTGTTGCCAGGCCCCATATAAGAGGGTTGTGTGGAAAAAATAGAAATACGCAGAATGAAAAGCAAGCCCCATGGTTTAAAACATTGGAAAATTTCAATGGTGGGTAAATATTTAAACTCTTGCATGATGTTCTTGATAGTCTTCCTACCCGGACTCTTTTGGTAACAAAGTTCTCAGGTGTTAGGTCATGCTCCATATCCTTATCAGGGAATCACTCAAAAATCCTGGAGGAAAATATGAGAGGCTAGACTCGAAAGCGATGGTGATGATCAGACAGACTCCTTGGGCCTCATGGTGAAAGCAAAGCCAATAGGCACATTTCTTATGTTTTGACAGAAACACCGCTATAAAAATAAAAATAAACCTGCAGTAACAGCTATATACACATTCAGTACTTCCCATAGACCAGACATTGTGCTCAGTGCACACTGTATGTATTAACTTTATTTAAATCTCACAATAATTCTGTGAGATGGATGAGGCTATTCTACCCATTTTACAGATGATGAAACTGAGACTCAGAGCAGTTGGGTAACATGTTCAAGACCATACAGCTGGTCTTGCCGGGCAGCCAGGATTGGAACCCAGTTTTGCTTGATTCTGGAACTGTGGATCATAACCTTTCCCCAGAATATACTTATTTACAAAACAGCTATTGCAGATAAAGTACTTACTAACAGTTTATTTTATTTATAATCACATATATGTTGCTTTTGGAGGAACTTAACACAGATAACAGCACACTTCTTGCAAATATGATCAATTAATTTTATTCATAATATTTTGGTTTATAGTCCAGTCAGATCTAAAAAGCATTTGATGGAATTTACAATGAAACATACCTAGGGCGCCTGGGTGGCTCAGTTGGTTAAGCGACTGCCTTCGGCTCAGGTCATGATCCTGGAGTCCCAGGATCGAGTCCCGCCATCGGGCTCCCTGCTGAGCGGGGAGTCTGCTTCTCCCTCTGACCCTCTTCCCTCT